CCTCATTAGAAATAACAAGAGGGCTCCACGGCAGCTCGAGCTGCTCCGTTCGCTCCAGCCCGAGCAGCTGACGGAGCCATCCGTCTGTTTCTTCTGCTGCTGTTGCTGCTGCTGCTGCTGCCGCTGCTGCTGCTGCTGCTGCTGGCCGACGCACGGACAGGGACGGGGGGCCCTCCGTTCCGGAATCCCTGGGGGCCCCTCCTGCTGCTGCGGTGACGGCGGTGCGCAGGGGGCGGGGGCCTGCAGCGCTGCTGCCTGGTGTGGGTGGCAGCAACAGGGGGGGCCTCTTGCACTGCAGCAGCAAACCCCAGTAAGGGAGCAGCTCTCTCCCGCACAGCCGCAGCAGCCCCTCTATACAGCGCAGACACTCAAGGCGCACAGAGGGGGTAGAGGGGTCCCCATCGACGGCTGCGCTGGGGGCCTCCTCCTCTGAACAGGATACCCTGATGGGGTGGCAGCCCCCCCCAAGCCGGGGGGCAGGGCCCCTTCTCCAGCTAAGACCTGGTGGGGGCCCTCGAGCAGCAGCAGCAGCAGCTGCAGCAGCAGGAAGAGCAGCAGCATCAGGGGAGCCACGCAGCCTGCTGCCGTCTATATCGCTTTCTTGTGTTGAGGCGAAATCTGTCGTCAGGCCGCAGGAGGGGCCCCAACCTGCTGCAGCAGCACCGCTCCGGTGCTGCAGCGGTTGCTGCAGCGCAGCAGCAGTAACAGGCTGCACCAGCGCAAGGGGAAGCAGCAACAGCAGCAGCTCAACGCTTACCTCCCCCTCTGCACCGAGGGGAGCTGCTGCAGAGACCGGGAGGGCTGCAGCGTCTGCAGCAGCAGTGCCAATGCCTCTCCCAGCAGCAGCAGCAGCAGCAGCAGCAGCAGTAGTAGCTGCACTTCTTGCTCGAGCCAGTTCACCCAAGAGAGAATGAATAGAAAGCAGGAGAGCCCTAATGAGCGCCACGTGCTTCGGCTGTGCGGCAGCGAGGCCCAGAGCTAAGAAGTGCTGTTGCTGCTGCTGGTGCTGCTGTTTCAGGTAGCGCTGGAGTCCTCGGTCTGTACGTGGGCGGGGTTCTGACCCCAGCACCCGGTGTAGAGCGACAGCAGCAGCTGCAGCAGCAGCAAGCGCTTCCCCCAGTGCAGCAGAGCCTGGGGCCCCCAGCTGAGGAGCCGCACGGAATACAGCAGCGATGCAGCCCAGAGCCTGCCGCTGCACTAACAGCTCCGCAGAGTTTGCTGTTGTGCTGCAGCGAAAGTGAGCGGAAACTAGCAGCAGCGCAGCACGGGATGCCTCTGTTGCATCCCCCCTGGCTGCGCCCCCAGCCTTCTGCTGCAGCTGAGACGAAAAGAAAACACCAGCAGCAAGCCCAAACTCCCGCAAAAAGGCAACAACTGCTGCAGTTACACCACGCGAATCGCAGGCATCTGCACAAGCACTCGCACGGCGGGCAAGAACCTCCAGGGAACAAAAAAGCCGCTTCTGCTGCTGCTGCTGCTGTGGTTGCTGCTGCTGCTGCTGCTGCTGCTGCTGCTGCTGTTGGTCTCCCTGTTGGGCGTGGAGATAACGTTCGAGGTGTTGGAGGAGTCGGGTGCAGAGATGGGCGTGACGTCGCTGCTGCTGTGCGGTGTATGTCCACCCCCTGTGCGGGATAGCGCTGCTGCCTCCTCGCTGTCGCTGGCTGCTGCCTGTGCTTCGTGCTGCATCCCCAAGTGAGTCAACAGCATCCTGCTGGGGCTCCTCAGAGGGAAGGCTGCCCCACTGGGGCCCCCAGGGGCCCCCCATCTACGCTACGGTGA